GTATTGTGTATGAGAGCAAATCGGAATCGACCATGTTCAAGGAAAAAGCCCTACCTTCTGTATTATCACTCCTGCCTAGTCTAAAATTTTTAAGTCTTACTGGTATTTTTATTGGTATCAGGTTTTACTATACACTGAAGGAAAATCATATTTTTCAGATACTGAATCATACGGCTGGAGTGATAGCACAGTGGGTAGGGCGTTTGCCTTGCAAGCGGCCAAAATGGCCAACCCAAGTTCAATTCCTCCACCCCTCTTGGAGAGCCCGGCAAGCTACTGAGAGTATCTTGCCGGCACGGCAAAGCCTGGCAAGCTACCCCGTGACGTATTTGATATGCCAAACACAGTAACGACAAGTGTCACAATGGAGACGTTACTGGGCCCGCTTGAGAAAATCGATGAACAACGGGAGGACAGTGACAGTGACTGAATCATAATGTTGAGTCCCTAACTAAATCTTCTCTGAGGTAGAGCTGGAGAGATAGTACAGGAGGGTAAGGCACTTGCCTTGCAAAAGGTCAACCTAGGTTCAATCCCTGGCATCTCATGTAGTCCTTCTCGCACCTCCAGGAGTAATTCCTGTATGCAAAGCCTGGAGTAACCCCTGGGAACTGTGGGTGTGGTCCAAAAACCAACGAACAAAAAATTTTCTTTGAAGTCTTGGGTAATTCTGGTTCTGCACTCAGGAATTACTCCTGGCAGTGCTCAGGGGATCTTATGGGATGCAGGAGATCAAACCTGGTCGGCCGTGTGAAAGGCAAACGTCCTACCCACTATATTGTCACCCCCTTTAGTGGGGTTAGTGACCTTTTTTGAGAACCAGCAATGTGGTTCAATTAGGAATATCATTGGATAGAGGAAAGTATGGCCATTACACAGATTACTGAATCTAGAAAGCAGGCATATTTGTCCTTAGAGACAATACATTATTCTCAAAGACAAAAATTAATCTCAAACCACTTTCTATGTAAGAACTATAGCTGATAAAGTGAGGAAATAGCACAGCAGGTATGGTACATGCTAGCATGTGTCCAACCTAGGTTCGATCCCCAGAACCACACAGTTCCCCCTAAGTATCATGAGGTGTATCCCTGGAGGTCCCCAAGTACCACAAGATATGACAATGGAAGACCCCAGCACCACCTGAGCGGCCCAGGTATCCCAAACACTGGAGGGCCTGAGCAGTAAAGCATCCTTGGGCCCACACACAAAACCAATAAACCAATTGGTAGAGAATCACTGGAACCACACCCACAACATGCACACCTCCGGAGCACTGTTTTAGGAGCAGTCCCTCCACCCCACCCCAACCCAAAGAATTATTATGGCTAAATTAAGTGACTCAGCAGAACCTAAAATGAGTAGTGTACTTCAGGGTGAGGGAACCAGGATGAAGTAAAAACTTGAACCAGGAAGGAAAAATTAGGTAAGACCTGGAAAGATTTTTAACCATCCACCCCAGGTCATTTTTAAATAACTTCAGTTCAGAAAAATATAAGTACTGCAAAAAAAAAACAAAAAAAATCAAAACCAGAAAGGAATGAGCTGCAAAGTCCTGGCAAGTGGGGGTCAGACTTCATGCAAGAAATTTCTCATCATGACAGGGGCTCACTTAGTCCTACAGGCACCGTAGGTCAAAAGTGCCTCAGTTTCTCGCTCTCTCTTTTTTTTTTAGTTTTGCTCAGAAATTCATCCTTATTCTGTAATTGTTTTGGTTTTTTTGGGGTTCATTTTGGGGCCACATGTGACAGTCACTTAATCACTTAACTTCCCGTTAGTCGTCGATTTGCTCGAGCGGGCGCCAGTAACGTCTCCATTTGTCCCTGTCGCGTGCTAGTGTAGCCCAATGGCATCTCTTCGCTCCGGGAACATGGAGGGCCTCAAACCGATCGTTCATGATCTTGACAAAGAAGTCTGACCATCTGGTAGGTGGGCGGCCACGCGGTCTCTTGACATCCCATGGAATCCAATCAGTAACAGCTCTAGTCCAACGGTCGTCTTTAAATCTCATTACGTGACCAGCCCATCTGATTTTCGACACCTTGGCAAATGAGACAGCGTCCCTGATCCTTGATCGTCGACGGATGTCAGAACTCCGGATTCGTTCTCTCATTTGAGTGAAACGTGATATTCCAAGCATAGCTCTTTCTATTCTTCTTTGGGAGACCTGAATGGCGTTCTCATCTTGTTTGCGTAGGGCCCAGGTCTCTGAGGCATATGTTAATGCAGGAAGAACAGTGGAATCCACTGTTCTTCCACATGTGACAGTGCTCAGGGCTTATTCCTGGCTCTTCACTCAGATCAAACCTGGTGGGGTTCAGGGAACCAGATGGGGTGCCAAGGATCAAACGGAAGTTATGCATGCAGCACCTTAAACCTGTATGATCTCTCTAGCACCTCTATAGTTTTTGACCCAAATAGCTGTATTCATATCGTGGTTTGTACCTCTGCTGGCATAAAACAGTAATTGTTCCCTTTGGGATGAATTAATCTTTAAGTATGAAAAGTACAGAAATAGGAGAAAAGGGGCTGAGGAGATAGCTCAAAGGGTTAAGCACCTGGGAGGCCCACGTTTAATTCCCTACACTTCATGATCCCCCGAGCACTCAGCTGACAGTAATTTCCAAGCATCACCAGGTACACTCCCCCACCCCCAAAACTGTAAAGTGAACCTAAAGCTAACAGTCACAAAACATTTCATTAAATATAACAGCAATTATTTATTGTGAGGGGGTCTATTATTATTTATTTAAAAATAAGAAATTTCAGGTACTCTAAGTTTATTAAACTTCTAAAATTATTTAAGTTCTAGGAAGGCTTCTTTATTTTACTGAAAAATCTACCTTGTAGTTGAAAGACAGCTGAAATATCTGCGAAAGTCAAGAGGTATATAAATTGCAAGTCTAAGAATGTAAGTTACTAGGCAAGAAAGAATTGGTCCATATATAAGGAGTAATATTTATTCACGGTTCCTTATCTGGCATTTAAATCCAATGAGAGTAAAGATAACACTGAACTTTTATAGTTTTATGGATCAATTAGAATTACAGAAATATAGTAGCAACATAGGTATATGATCTTGGGTGAAATTTTCTATTACCTACCCGAAGGTGAACATACTTTCAGTTGTAACATTTCCTATAATAAAATTTTTTTTTAATCTTTTTTAAAGTGTTTTCTTTTGGGGATGCAAAAGGCTGAGCTCAGACTCCTACTAGAAGCATCACTCTACCACTTATCTTCAACTCAGCACTACCTCCCCCATAAGCACCTTTCAGTGTATCAAAAACACTCACAATTATTTAATGGCAGTAATGAACAAAAATAAGTACCTTCCATGTGATTTCAAGAATTTCAAAGGAAATCTTAATTTGGGGGGTGGAATGGTGAGAGGGGGAACTAAGAGTGGCTGTAGGGTCACACTGGGCAGTATCAGAGGCAACTCCTGGCTCTGTAAACACCCCAGGGGACTGAACCAGGGCCTCTCACAAGCAAAGCAAGCACTCAGTCCTTTGAGTCATCTCCCAAGCCCATCAAAGCAGAAATCTATTTTAAAAGACTCTTCTTTTATAAAATGTCATTTCTGTCTATATAGCACAAAACAAGCTGCGCCATTTTCTCAAGATGCCCAGAAAACACTGTTTAATCAAAACCACAAAGGGCTGCTTACATGATTACTTCATGGAAATCATGGCCTTTACTGTGATGACATACATCAACAGCTACAATAAACCCCAGCTGCTGTGGTAACGATTATTATACTATAGTTAGCTGTTGAGTGGGCCTGATATTAAGGCCACCAATTCTATTTACATAAGCACAGGACTGCCCCTCCAAAGGCAATTATTTCCAGATACTTCTACTCTATCATTAACCAAACAACTAGATATTTAATATCCATTTTTTATCCCTTTAAACTATAAAATTATTGGACTTTCAAAAAATACCTTTAGCTAGGGCCATAGAGAGTACAGAGGGTCCAGTACTTGCCTGGCATTTTGGCGAACCTCAAGTTAATCCCTAGCACCCAATCTTAAGAATTAATGCCAATTATGCCATTTCCTGAAAATCTCCCAAGATCCTTCATTAAAGAAATGTAGAAAACATAATTAGAGAAACCCAGAACCATTCAGGGATGATGCTCCAATTTAAATTACTCTCCCTTTAATGTGAACATCCTCTCATTCATATCTGAAGTGTTCTTCATGTGCTAGAGGCACCTTTAAAGACTCAGTAACACTGGCCAAGAAATGAAAATGAAAGCAAAATTGAAAATGAATAGGACTACAGCAAATTAATAAGTTTCTGCACTGCAAAAGAAATGATGACCACAATAAAAAGACACCCACAGACTGGGAGAACATATTTTCCCACTACTCATCTGACAAAGGGTTAATGTCAAAGATATAGAAAGCACTAATAGAATTTTACAAAAAACAAACAAACCATCACAAAATGGAGAGAAGAGATGTACAGGAATGTTCTCAAAGAAAATATACAGATGGCCAAAAAGCATATGAATAAATGCTCTGCATCACTTATCAAGGAAATGCAAATCAAAATAAGGAGATATCATCTCCCACCAGTGACACTGGTATACATTACAAAGAACAAAACCTGTATTAGTATGAATGTTGGGAAAAAGGAACCCTCATTCACTACTGGACCATATTCCCCATGGCAACTGGTCCTGGACTTTTGGAAAAAAGTATGGACACACATCAAATAAAGGTAAAGGTAAAGGTAAAGGCCCTCCCGTTGTTCGTCGATTTGCTCGAGCGGGCCCAGTAACGTCTCCATTGGAGACTTTGTTGTTACTGTATCTGGCATATCGAATACGTCACGGGGAGCTTGCCAGGCTCTGCCGTGCGGGCGAGATACTCTCGGTAGCTTGCCGGGCTCTCCGAGAGGGGCGGAAGAATCGAACTCAGGTCAGCCATGTTGGCTGCGTGCAAGGCAAACGCCCTACCACTGTGCTATCGCTCCAGCCCTCCCGAAGTGTGCTCACTTCGGCAGCACATATACTAAAATTGGAACAATACAGAGAAGATTAGCATGGCCCCTGCGCAAGGATGACATCAAATAAAACTAGTTAAAAAAAAAAAAGGAACAAAAAAAAAACCTAGTAATTGACCTTCCCTCTAGCACTGTAGCACTGTCCTCCCGTTGTTCACTGGGTTGTTCATCGATTCGCTGGAGCGGGCACCAGTAACATCTCCACTGTGAGACTTGTTGTTACTGTTTTTGGCATATCAAATACGCCATGGGGAGCTTGCCAGGCTCTGCTGTGTGGGCAAGATACTCTCAGTAGCTTGCGGGGCTCTCATAGAGGGGCAGAAGCTTCGAACCCGAGTCTGCTGCATGCAAGGCAAACGCCCTTCCCGCTGTGCTATTGCTCCAGCCCGACCTTCCCTGTGATCGAGCAATTTCACTTCTTGGCATTTACCCCAATGGCGAAAAGACTCTCTTCAGAAAAAAACATTTGCACTCCTATGTTCATCAAAGCACTATTCACAGTAGCTAAAAATCTGGAAACAACTCAAGGATCCACAAACAGATGACTGGATAAAGAAACTATGGTACAGGGGCTAGAGTGATAGTGCAGTGGGTAGGGCACTTGCCTTTTGCACAGCCTACCTGGGTTCTGTGTATATGCCCGAACCTAGCTGCACAGGGCTGTGAAAATCCCCACACAGGCAGGGATTACACATGAAAGGATGTTCACAGACTCTCCGAGCAGCTCTCTCTCACCACCTGCATTTGGTGCTCTCGAGTCACTGTGTCGGGCTGGCACCAGTTGGGGAGGCTGTTGGCCATGGGCAGGTGAAGAATGAATGAGGACCAAGCTGGTTGCTGACTAGATGCTGTTTATTCAATCTCTCGTCTCTCCCAGCTCTCTCTAACCCCTCTCTCTGTGTGTTTCTGTCTAACCGTGCAATTCTTTCTTCCTGCTGTATCCATCTCCTCTCTCTCTCTCTCTCTGCTGTCTCTGTAACCATCTCTCCTTTCTCTGTAACTGTCTCTCCTTCCGACTGACTTGCCTCTGCTTCTCACTCTCTGGATCCCCTCTGACTCTGTCTCTCTGGATTCTCACTTTCCTGGATCCCCTTCTGCTTCTCACTCTTGATTCCTTGCTTCTGGCTTCAATGACTCCCTGACTCCTTCTCCACTTCCCCTAACTGGATCCGGATTCCCCTCCGATCTTACAGTCTTAGTTTATATAGCAATCACGTAGGTGGTGATAGAAAAGTGGGGTTGAACATTAACAAATCAACAGAGAGGTAAGGACACTCCTCTAGGAGATTAACTCGAAGACAAAATCTCATCTACGGAGATTACTCCAAATTACTACGAGATCCGCTCAAGGGCGGGATTCCATCCAGAGTATATTCTAGATTGGTACCAATAGCAAAGTTCAAGTCCAAGTGGGAAAATGGTAGGATCAGAAATACCAACATGAGGAGGCTGGAGGGATAGTACAGGTAAGGGGCTTGCCTTGCTTGAGTCCAAGCTGGATTTGATCCCCAGCATGCCATAAGGTTCCCCAAGCACCTCCAGGAATAATTCCTGTGCAGAGCCAGGAGTAACCCCTGCTCACCGCTGGGTACAACTCTCCCCCACAAAAGAAATATCAACATGACCACAAAATCAGGAAATTACACTTGTTTATACCAAATATATTTTCCCTGAATTTTTTTGTATCTAAAATTGATATGAGCACATCGGGTAAGGCGTTTGCCTTGCATGTGGCCGACCCGAGTCGAGTCCTCCACCCCTCTTGGAGTGAGAGTACTACTACTGAGAGTACCAGTGTACTATTACAAAAGTGTACTAGTACAAAAGCTACTGAGAGTACCTCGCCCCCACAGCAAAGCCTGGCAAGCTACCTGTGACATATTCGATATGCCAAACACAGTAACAACAAGTCTCACAATTTGTTATGAGATGTTACTGGTGCCCAGTCGAGCAAATCGATGAACAACGGGAGGACAGTGCTACAGTACTACATAGCAAGAATAGATTATTAAGGACCAGTGCCTAAATCCAAGTTCAATTCCTGGCACCCAATGAACAAAATGCTATATAACTAGAAATGAACCATAAAAAGAAAATTTAAAAAAGCCAAAATGTGGAGAACAAGTTTCACAGGAAATGGGTCAACAAGAAAATAAAAGCAGAAAAATTTAAATACCTGGAAATAGGGTAGAAGACATGGTTCAAATGAGAGGGCACATGTCTACCGTGTAAAAGGTCCTGGGTTTTGGGAGAAATCAAACCCAGGGCCTCCTAAACGTAAGGCAACTGCTGGTATCTCTGAATCACATCCCCAGCCTAAACCTTTTCTTCTTCCTAAAAAATAAGGATGCCTTTCCCACTGACTTTCCTTTTACTTATCAGTAGCCCAAACTGGATCTCATGAGAGTTCCTAAAACAATCACTTCCAAAAGGAATCAAGGAAATGATAATGACCATCATCAACATTAGAATGGATTCTGGTCACTATCATAACCATCACTCTCTAGTATTGAATGAATATCTTAATGAAGGCAGATCCTGGAGGATGAAATGATTCATACTGGGGAAGAAATAAATGTGGAGTAGACACACACAAAAGAATGGAAGGAGGAAGTCAAATTGCAATCATACATTAAATACTGTTAGACATAAAAGATTCTCTTCAATCTCTGTTGTCATTCTAAATACAAAAATGAACTTAACTAATCAGGGCAGTAAATGCTAAGACAGTTTAGGTACATCATCATCGAGGATAATTAGACTCACCACTCCTTGTCAACAGCACCCATTCAGCTACCTCTGGGCTGAGAACATTCCACAGTAAGCACACAGATGACTACAGACTCACTGTCAGTAGAAGTTGTTCCCTGAAGGTCTCTTTTCATTTGGGTTCACGGTTTCACACAAAAATACACACTCCCAACTGTCTCTGAATCTGCAAATGAAAGGATAGAGTTAGGAGACAAAAAGCTGCATGGAACAACTCACCCTTCCCTCATGTGTAATTAAGAAAACTGAACCAAATACCATTTTCACTAAGGACCATGTTCAAACTAAACAACCTACATTTTAATGGTTGTAAGATGATTACACTTACCACCCTTTTCCCATCACATATATTTATTATAGCACCCACACTACACCAGACACACTACTGGTGGACCCACACTGGGCTGACCTATACATCATATTAGATTTCTGCCTGTATTTCTAAGTCAGAGACACAACAAAAGATTTCTGGTCTCTCCTTAAAAAAAAAAAAAATCAAAGTATTTGGCAATTCTGGGCCCACATTCCACATGGCAACAATGCGTTGGAACTAATTAGAGGCTAATTGCTAATTCTTTAGATGGGACATGGGTTTTGCATCTGTCCAAAGATGTCAGCACTCTTTTATAACCCATCTCAGTTAACTATCTAGACTTAGTTTGCATCAGAACTCAAACTCAGCCATATTTTTACAAAAGCTCACAGAGGGCATTTATTACTGTTGAAGCAAAGCATTTTTCTGTACTGAGGGTATAATACAGTATGGAGATAACAACATTGCCTTTGGGGTTGAGGGTTTAAGATATGGATTATAATTCTGCAAATGACAAGCTATGTGATCTCAGACTTGCTTTAAATCTCCCTAAGATTTACTTCTTACAAGAATCAAAACATATAAAGCACATAATACTATCAACAGCAGTGGACAAAAATCTGACATTTCCAAATCAATGGAATCGACCCAAGTTCGATTCCTCCGCCCCTCTCGGAGAGCCCGGCAAGCTACCGAGAGTATCTCGCCCGCACGGCAGAGCCCGGCAAGCTCCCCATGACGTATTCGATATGCCAAACACAGTAACAACAAAGTCTCCAATGGAGACATTACTGGGCCCGCTCGAGCAAATCGATGATCAACGGGAGGGCCTTCCAAATCAATCAATAATCCCAAATCCACTGTTTCCCCTGTCTCCCTCATCTCAATAAACTGCAGTTACCTATGTAGTTCATTCTCAAGCTTCAAACTAACCTCAAATTCCTTACCACATATACTCTCTCATTCTCATCCTCCCCAAATCATTACTCAGGCAGCTGATTCTCTAAAATATATGGGGGGGCAGATATCATTCCATGCAAAGTTCGGCAAGCTTACATGTCATCTTTAAGTCTAAACTGATAATGAACTTGGACATTATAACTGATCTGAGAATGAAATTTAGGGAAAAAAGCTGAAGAAGTAATAAATTTAGCAAGACTGCAAGATTTAAAATCAATACTCAAAATTTAACTGTTTTTACAGACTTGCTCAAAGAATAATCAGAAGTTGAATTTTTTTTAATTTCATCATGTTATCAGAAAGTTTAAAATTAGGATTAACAAATAACATGCAAAAAAAGACAAATGGTAGAGACAAAACTGTATTCAAATACCAGTGTACTCAAGATGTTAAATGTCAGTTCTCCCTAATTTCAGGAACAGAAAATGACAAACGGATTGTAAAACTCATACACTCCTACTCCAGATGGAATTCTGGCGACCAACAGTTTCCACAAGCAAGGCCCAGGTATGTGGGTTCCAGGACTAAATCTGCATGCGGCATGGTGGCAGAGGTGCCAGGCTGTCCCTCCCTGGCTCCCCGCCCACTCATCAGCCTAGATGTCAGAACCGCAATGTGCCTCTGGGTGCCATCTTAGCTCACCAACGGCCCTGGTCCAGAGACGCCCAGTTGAATCCCAAAATGGATTAGTGCCCTACAGAAACATTTCTGGGACCCAACCATTTACGATCTAGGATTCCAGAAGCACTCAGCTGCGGCACTCAAGATATTCAAAATGAGCAATGGACAATAAATAATCTAGCATCTGCCCCGGCAGACAGGCTTAAATGGTGGTGGGAAAATTTGAGCAAAACATAATGCCCCAAAGTAGAGAGAGTATTGGAGAAGTTGCCTGCCATGGAGGCAGGGTGAGGACTGCGATGGGGGGGGGGGGGGGGGGGGTATTCTGAGGACATGGTGATGGAAAGTGTGCACTGTTGGAGAGATAACCATCAAACATTGTACGGCTGAATCTCGAACATGAAAGCTTTGTAACTGTATCTCATGGTGATTCAATTAAAAAAATAAATAAAAATAAAACTCATACAATTATAGCAGCTTGGAACAACCGTATAGCAGGCAGGGGATTTGTTTGCCTTGTACGTGGCCAGCATGAGTTTGGTCCCCAGCACTCCATGTATCCCCCATGTCCACCAGGTGATCCCAGAATACAGCTTCAGGAATAAGCCCTGAGCACTGCCAGATATGGCTCCAAATCCAACAAAATAAAATAGGACTCATACAGAAATGAAAGATAATACATTACTAAAAATTAAAAAAAACATTTTTGAAGCCTTATACAAACTAGGTTGATAGTTGCTTTTGGGTTTAAGAAATCTTGATATATTTTGAATATTAAATCCATATTGTTCATCGCACTGTCGCACTGTCCTCCCGTTGCTCATCGATTTGCTCAAGTGGACCCAGTAATGTCTCTGTTGTGAGACTTGTTACTGTGTTTTGGCATATCGAATTCGTCGCAGGTAGCTTGCCAGGCTTTGCCGTGTGGGCGAGATATTCTCGGTAGCTTGCCGGGCTCTCCGAGAGGGGCAGAGGAATCGAACCCGGGTCAGCCGTGTGCAAGGCAAATGCCCTACCTGTTGTGCTACCCCTCTCAGAGAGTCCAGCAAGGTACCGAGAGTATCTCGCCCGCATGGCAAAGCCTGGCAAGCTACTCCTGACGTATTCGATATGCCAAAAACAGTAACAAGTCTCACAATTTGTTGTGAGACGTTACTGGTGCCTGCTCAAGCAAATAGATGAACAACAGGAGGACAGTGCTACAGACAGTGCTATACTAACTAAGTTAGCGTTTGTTTTAAAACTATTATATAGACAGTGAGATACAGGCATAGACAAACAGAGCAATATGAATAAAATTACAGGGCCCGAGCAATAGCATAGCAGATAGGGCGTTCGCCTTGCACACTGACCCAGATCATATCCCCCACATCCCATAGGGTCCTCTGTGTAGCACTAGGAGTAATTCTTGAGTGCAGAGCCAGGAGCATCCTGGCCAAAAAGAGAAAAATTAAAAAAAAAAATTACAAGTCCAAAAGTAAGCCTCACTGATTTTTCTACAAAGACACAAAGGCAATTCAACAAACAGTTTTGGGATCACTGGATATCTACACCTCACATTACATGCAAAATTAACTCTCACAATAAGTAAAAACCTTAAAATCTTGGACAAAAAAAATTGTTTTGGGGAGATTAACACTCATGAGTGGGCGAGATTAGTACCAGGAATTTTACTCCATGGCTTGGAGGCCAGCCACACATGCTAGGGGAAAAGGGAGCTCAGATAGAGAAGGGAGCACCAAATAAAGGGTGTTGGGAGGATCCTCCCAGGCTGGGAGATGCATGCTAAAAGTAGACTATAGACCAAACATGATTGTCACCCATTGCCTCTTTTGCAGACCACAACACCCAAAAGGAGAGAGAGAACAAAAGGGAATGCCCTGCCACTGAGGCAGGGTGGGATGAGGGGGATGGTGGGTGGGAGGGATACTGGGACCCGTGGTGGTGGAAAATGTGCACTGGTGGAGGGATGGGTACTTGATCGTTGTATAACTGAAACCCAAGCACAAAAATTTGTAAGTCTACAACTGCACCTCATGGTGTTTCACTAATAAAAATTTTTTTAAAAAAAGCATCAGCAGACTTTACTAGAAATTAAAATTACTGGAATGAAAAAAAAAATTTGTTTTTATTGAGGGAGCCTCCTACGCAGTGCTCAAGGGCCACTTCCAGCAGCTGATTCTGGCTACTAGACCAGCAATTCAGTGCTTGGGCCTTGTGGTTACCTGGACCACAGAAAGCTCAGGCGGCTTTCAGACCTACCTCTGGAAAAATGACCTATAATACATGAAAAATCATGTTATCTGAAAATGGACCTTGATCTAGAATACAGAAAAACCTTTCTAAACTCAGTAATAACAAAGCCCAATTTCAAAAAGGGATGAGTGCACTAAACACTCTTCACCATTCGTGAGAAAAATACAAGCACAGGCAAGGGAAAACAGAAACCGAAAAAGATTTGGGGGTAGGAGGGCACACCCAACTATGCTCAGTGTTTACTCCTGGCCGTGCTGGGAGACCAGGTGTGGTGCAAATTCAGGTTGCTTACATAAAAGACAAGTGCCTTATACACATTGTACTATCTCCAGAGCCTGAAAACTGAAACTCTTAAGCAGCAACTGAAACACAGCATAACCATCTTAGAATATGCAGTGCTCCAGAGTTGATCTCTAGAATCAGGTGGCCTCCCAAGTATCACTGGGTATAGCCCTGTCGGTCACCAGCACCACTGGGGAACCTCCCCTGCCAAATTAAAAACATCTGTAGCATACTCCAGCCATTTCCTTCTAGACATTTGCATAAGAGAAAGTAGTGTATGCCTAACAAAAGACTATAGCAGTTTTGTTAGGAATAGCCCAAAAGTATACATACTTCATCAAAGGTGAATGGATAAGAGAAATAAAAATGTCTTTCAATGCACTAATCACAACCCAAAAAATTAACTCTTATGCAACATGGACTACTCTCAAAATAAGTATGCTAAGTGAAATAAATCATATAAAAGAACATGCAGTTGAGAAGGGGGCAGAGCGATAGTACAGCAGGTAGCTTGCCTTGCACGTGGCGAACCCGAGTTCAATCCCTGGCATCCCACGAGGTTCCAAGCCTGCCAAGAGTGATTCCTGAGCACAGAGGCAGGGGTAAGTCCTGAGCACCGTTGGGTGTGGCCCGAAAACAAAAACAACAACAAAAAAGTTCATTTACAAAAACTTCTTGAATCCCAGCACCAAAGGAGTGGCCCCATAGTAATTAAAAAATTAAGTAATATATTC